TGAAAGGTGGAGTTATGGATAGCTGTGAAGTTTGAATTTTCTTCATGTAATAAAAAGAAAATGAAGCAAGTCAATCAATAAAAATTGATTCAATTGATAAAGATTTAATTTATAAACTAGCATGATGGGTTCACATATCCCAATAAACTAGAAAAAGCATCTCTATCCAAAGCAATCCACCCAAACCACAGAAGGCAGCTAGCCAGTCTGTAAGGGCTGAATCTCTGTCAGTTCTGTAACTCTTTGACATGATAATCAAAATTTTTGGCCTGTTAACTTTTAAAGTAAACAAACCGATTCCCTCTCCCTGTTAAAATCGGAACCATTCAGTATCTGATTCTCCTTGTTTCCTTTTGTGTGCTTTCAAAGTGGGAAGAGGTTAAGACCTGATAGTACGTATTCTTTTCCTTGTTCTTTGATCTAGTGGCACTCTCTCCTACATGAAGAAATGCTGCTTATGTGAAGTTCTTGGTGTAAGTACCTCTTAAGCAAGCCAACGACTCTGGCAACAAATTTCCTTTTATATTATTGTTAATTGCTAAACATGCAAAGAGTGTGCCAAGTCAATCAAGTGTGCGTAAATATTGATTAATTAATGTCCCTTGGTTGTTTCATAGACTATCATGTCATCATTATCTTCGTCACCTTCTTATTATTTTATACTCCGGGGTCTTAATTACAGGAGCTAGGTAAGCAATTTCTAGAGATTCAAAAAAATTAATTAAATCAGTTATTTTTAAAATGTGTGCTGATTTTTCTAAAATACCCATTTAATTATTTACATCGGAAAATATTCCAATGGTAAAAATTCTCTTTTAATATTTGCAATAAAAAGAGATAATATGAAAAAAATATAAATTTGAGTCAAAATATATTGAGGTCTTAGATCTAGGATCAAAAGAGACTCTTTAACTAGTTATTAATTTAGCACAAACAAAATAATAAACACTACAGAAGCATTGAAAACAATTAGTCTAGGCTACTTGCACTTCTAACAATCAAGTAATTATTGAAATTAGGGTGTCAGCACTACAGTTGGGCTGAAAATGATGGCTTTAATGAATAATTTTGCCATGAACTTGTCCCAACCCAGGTTTAACCAAATATGAGCTTCAAGTGCAGACTGCATAGAGTAATGATATTCAAGGTATCATTCATCACTTCAGGAAAATATCTATTCATAACCTTGAACAGAGCTTGCCTATAACTATAAGCGACATCAGACTACGGGAAAAATCAAAAGCTAAATCCATAAACAAGGCAAATTTTTCACGGTTGGCTTTGCGTCACGACATATAAATTAAAAGCTCCGAAAGCTGCACGAAGGTCAATAAGAGGAATAACGGAATATGCATGAATATGAATGATATACAGAGATCGCACAATTTCATTAAAGAAAATGGAATCGTACCATCTAGTCTTATCCCCCCCTTTTTCTTTTATGAACCCCTATTAGCGTGAAAATAAATGATCAAGTTGCACAATAATGCCAAAAAATGTCTACGTTACAGGTTTCTAACGGAGAGAGGAATGGAACTCAACAAACAAAATGGGACCGATAAGGTTATTTTAAAGCCAAGATGCCATTTCATTTCTTGGTGGGTTTTATGCATTATTATTATCACGCAATTTTGGGCGCAAAAATAATACTTAGAGCCATATGGTCTTGGTCGCTATAAATATTATGGCAGCAGCACTACCTGCTACAAAGTAAACAAGCTGATTCTGCCTCCTTGGTCGCAGAAGACATGGCACTAGCTATGGTAATCAGTTCACCCCCTAAGTTTTTATTGTCATTCATGTTTAATGGTCTTGTATCAGACCAAACAAGTTCTGCTTAGGTTAACCACTTTGTTGTTTGATGACTCTTATCAGGGAATCTGCAGAAATATGGGAACTCGATCAAAGGTAGAAAGACGGCTGGGAGGAAACAGGGCTGCACTTTTTGTGTATGGTAATTAACAGATTGGAGTATCCTTACTCTGTAATGTTCTTTTGAAGCTATGGAATGCGTTATAAGTTTTTGTAACTGTGAACGCAGCAATGGAGGGGCTTGAGAACATGGCTTTCATTGCCATGGCAGTGAGCTTGGTGACTTACTTCTTTGGGTACATGAACTTCAACTTAACAAAGTCAGCCACCACTGTGACCAACATTATGGGGACTGCGTTTCTGCTTGCACTCTTTGGGGGTTTCGTCTCTGACACTTATCTCTCAAGGTTCAAGACTTGTGTCCTCTTCGTCTCCATGGAAATCTTGGTAAGTCCCTCTTCTTTCTTTCGCCTGAGACTTTACTCTCCAATTCAACATTACAGAGAAAATCAGCTCTTGCTGTTACGAAGTCTGTGTGATTTTAGCCATGAATTGAATTGAATAATTGAGGAAATAATGGGAAATGAGTCAAGCATTACATATTTCATATATTGAAGCCAACTCATTCATTCGGTGAGTTTTCAGCAATGAATCTTTTGTTGACCGCCGTGGCTCAGAATCACTTCAGCAAGAATAGCGTGATTTGCACAGTAGGTTGGAGATACAAACACGTCAATTATTTCACTAATTATTAATATAAAATAACTTTGCCATCATTATTTTATGTTCCACACCTTAAACGCATTGACTATTCATGATTCAACATCCTTGGCTACGATACTGTTAGAGGTCGGTTCATCATGCTTTTGAAATCCGATAAATTCAACTCCAATCTCTTCAAAATCTTTTTTTTTTTATCACATAGATTAATTCTGAAGTACTAGTTGTTCTAGGCAGTAAATATCAGCATGCAAGTATTTACGGACCCAAATATCAAATTTCTCTTCAAGAGAAAGCTCAGATAACAGCAAAAGATTAGATTCTGATGTATAACTCACTTGTCTGAAAATTACACCGTAAAGGCTTCCCAGTAACAAGCAACAACAACACACAAGTTGAACATTTTTAAGGGTTTGTGTTTGGATACAGGGGTATGGTATCTTGGCAGTACAAGCACACTTCAAACAATTAAGACCAATCCCCTGCAAGGGCGCAGCAACAATCCAGACAAGTCAATGCGAGGCTGCTAGTGGAGGCCAAGCTGCGATCCTCTACACCGGGCTTTACCTTGTTGCATTAGGAACTGGCGGTGTTAAAGCCGCCTTGCCAGCCTTAGGGGCCGACCAGTTTGATGATAAAGATCCCAAAGAGGCAGCTCAACTATCTAGCTTTTTCAACTGGTTCTTGCTTAGCCTCACCATTGGAGCTATAGTTGGTGTTACTTTCATCGTTTGGATTAGCACCAACTTAAGCTGGGAATGGAGTTTTACCATATGCACCATCTCTGTATTATTCGCAGTCATCTTTATAATCATGGGCAAATCATTATATCGAAATAATGTTCCAAAGGGAAGCCCTCTTGTGCGGATCATACAGGTACGTGACGTTTATTTATCGGAATAATGTTACAAATGCAAATAATACGGATCTGATTCATGTGTTCCTTGAACTACTAGGTCTTTGTGGCAGCCTTCAGAAACAGAAAACTGCAAATTCCAGAGAACGAGGAGGAACTACATGAGATTCTTGAGATAAAAGGGGAGGACAATCAAGAAATCCTCAAAAGGACAGATCAATTCAGGTAAACCCTCTCATGTACATGACTAGCCTTTGTTTTTCCTTAGACAGTGATCATGTAATATGAAGAAGCTTGGAATTCTTGAGAAACACTCAAAAGTATTATTCAAGCACTTTCTCATATTTCTTTTGGAAAATCGATTTCCTAGGTTCTTGGACCGGGCAGCAATTATAAGGAGCACTACTGATGCAGCGACGGCCATAAGCTCGGGACCATGGAGTCTGTGTACGGTGACCCAAGTAGAAGAAACAAAAATATTGATCCGTATGCTACCAATAATATGTAGCACCATATTCATGAACACATGTTTGGCTCAGCTTCAGACCTTCTCTATACAGCAAAGCACCACCATGAACCCCAACATCAAGGGATTTAAAGTACCAGGCCCATCTATCCCAGTTATCCCTCTACTCTTCATGTTCGCCCTCATCCCTTTGTACGACCGCATATTCGTCCCACTTGCTCGGAGAATCACCGGAATCTCCACGGGAATCCGACCCCTTCAACGCGTCGGGGTTGGGTTGGTTCTGTCAGCCATTTCCATGGCAGTCGCCGGAGTTGTTGAAACCCACCGGAAGTCGGTGGCCATCCAACACGAGATGGTGGACAGCACAGAGCCTCTGCCTTTGAGTCTGTTTTGGCTAGGTTTCCAGTACGCTATTTTTGGAGCAGCAGATATGTTTACTCTGGTTGGACTTCTGGAGTTTTTCTATGCTGAAAGTTCGGCAGGAATGAAGTCACTCAGCACGGCTATATCTTGGAGTTCTGTGGCATTTGGCTATTTTACAAGCACCGTGGTGGTTGAAGTGGTTAACAAAGTGAGTGGAGGATGGCTGGCAAGTAATAACCTCAACAGAGACAAGCTTAACTACTTCTACTGGCTGTTGTCTGCGTTGAGCGTCCTTAATTTTGGGTTTTACTTGGTTTGTGCTTCTTGGTATAGATACAAAAAGGTGGAAGACAAGCAAGGCCATCCCCGAGATACCCTTGAGATGACCATGGTTTAGTTTAGATCTCTGGTTCTTGTTTACTTGTTTGCTTTTGGTTTCTCGATCACCTGGCATGAATTAAATACAGTTTGCATGACGTGGAACTTGAAAGTGAATGCATGCGTAAACCACATGTATAGATTGTTTATTGATGTAAAAAGTGTTTGTTTATATGCAATTCTTCGTTAGCCATGTGAAGGATAAATTAAGAACCCACCATTAACTAAGGGAGAACTTTCAGCCAAATGCAATAAGCAGATGCTATTGTTCATCAAGCGCCAAAAAGGCAGGAACAGGCGTTTAAGATGAGGATTGAAATTCATCACTATCCCTAGGATACAAGATTAAGAACCAGATTAGCACACCACGCATATAAACCCTCCATAGTCAATACAGAGCAATTTAGTGTATTGTGCAACCATTAAGAATTAGGATTTATTTAAAGAGGATAGTTGAGAAGTAACAACAGTGCCAAAGAATTTGGCTTCAATCATCCAAATCAAAACCAGAAGCCAACAAACAAGGGCAACCAAAAGAAAAGCTAAATGTTCCCCTCCTTTTTGCCTTGGGTATTTACAAAGATAATATGAGCCTTCCTTTACAGGTGTCAAAACCTATTATATAACAAGGAATTAATAAGAAAATTTAGAAACTTAGCCCATTAACGGGGGCAAAAAAACTATGTTAACAGTTTACAAGAGCATGCACTACCATTTAACATCCAATGTAAGAGCCTCTGGAGGAACAAGCACAGATCGCAACTTTGTAAAGGACATGTTGGACATCAAATTACCCCACGAAACTGAATCTGATTCGATAAAAGGCTTTGATTTCTTGACCATGAGAGGCTTTAGCCTGTCGCCCTCAACTCTGGCCCATACCTGAAACCAATCTCTTTCTACACTGGGCCTTGTTCTCCACTTGGGCAGTGTACCATTGACAGTGATATTGCTCCCAACTACCCTTTCCAACTCTATGGAGAATCTAACATTAGATGATGCTTTAACATTAGCTTTGACCAAACGAGAAACCTGATTTTGAAGGATCCTACGACCCAGAAGGCTCCTAAAAATTTTTTCCAACATGCTTAATCTCAAACTAAAGGAATTAATTGGGCATGCTCGCTTTCTGTGCACAAGACCACGGTAACATTTTTCTGGGAGCAGCTCAATTGTGTCCCCCGAAATATATGTATTTTCTATGTACACATCAGGATTCCGTGCTCTGTAGGCAACTAATGATGCAGAGCCCAATATGCGGATAGGAATTAAAGGCATGCACATTGATTGCATAAAGGGCCCAAAACCAATCTTCCCCTTGCTAAACACAGCGCTTCCATTTGTCTGCTGATCAATATCTGATGAATGAAAAAGGGAGACTTCTTGCGCTCCTTTCACTTCTAATGTGATGCCTTCACCAACAAGGATGTGTTTCAAACCACTATACGAGATGTTCATCTGCATGACAAGGGCAAGAGTTATGGAGCAAGTATTTACCCGAATATAGATTGCCATACATATCAGAGAACAAAAACCTGATTCATTGCATGGTAAACGTCAAATTTTCTGACTAAGCCGTGAGCTAAACTTTGAAAAATCATTTGCAACATTAGAAAGGAAGCAGATGCAAGCAGCCACCCAATTGAAACCACTTTAGGTTATAATTAATAATACATCAATGAAAAACAGTTTCAACCCATCGTCACGGACAGATTATGTAGTAGGGCACAAAGATAGTTATCTATATAAAACCAAACACAATAAATCAAAAACAACATCCCTCTGCGATTAGTAAGAGGACTTTGTTCCCTCAGGCCATCCTTGAGGTCCTCTTCTGTCTCCCAAGTCATCAACAGCTACATTCCTTCACTCCTTGCGGCTTGGTTGCCGGTCAACTGTTGGTGACAGTTCTAATAGTCTCTATTATCGTGTGCTTTTCGCTCGTTTATATACTTAAGACTAGCTAACCAACTAAGTTTAAAACTTGGACTCTCGCAATTCTCTCCGGTTTAAATTCCTGGGAAAGAATGATAATTTTGTTTATAGATTCCAAGCAGCAAAAAGCTTTAATCGAGTACTATTGATAATTGATGTCATGTTATAATTATAACTTCAAAAACAAAACGCATATACACTGGACAGAAGATAAAATTTTCTCAGCCGTCAAGCGGAGAAAAGGATTTTTCTTCTAGCAAGTTCCAACAGCAATCCCTCAACTATAAGGTTATTAATTGGTTCTAACAGAGATGAGAACCAAATTAGAGAGACGTCAACGTTTAGATCAGAGCCAAATACGAATAAAACACTCGCATAACCTATACAGAAGCAAAAACCAGAAACAAAGCATACCGGCAGGGACAGAGTCAGTTGGTGATGTCCATCGACCCCTAACTCAAATGGACCCTCCAATTTGAAGGTATCAAGCACAGCAAGTGAGCTAACTTGACGAATCAGAGACCCTAGGTCGGATTTGGACTTTCTAAACTTGTTCCAAGACCCAACTTGGTCCGAAGATCTGAGGAGCAAATGATTCCTGCCCAACCCGATTCGAAACTCATATTTGATGGAGGCGCTGAATCGAACCTTGCCAACATCGAACTTGGAAACTCTAACACCGTCGAAATCCCATTTCTGTTTGGCCGAAATAACCTTTAAAACGTCCTGGTTTACATGAATCAAGAAAAAGGCAACTAAGAAAGATAATTAAAAGCCTTCATCATGATTTATAGATTACAAATATAAATTTGAGAAAAAGAACATAGATGATGAAAGATCGGATGTAGGATTTGATTAAAGAAACCTGCAAAATGGATGAAGCATTGGAGTCAGAAGGAAAGGGCTTAACAGGAGGAGGATGGAACACAAGAATTTGAAGAAGAAGAATGAAGACGACCGAGACGCAACCAATTATCATCGTCGTCTGGATGCCTGTACCTGCGTGGGGGCAAGGTGGTGACTCGTGCGCAAACGGCTAAATGCCATAGTGTTATATCCAGTGGCCTTAAATAGTTAAATTGTACTTACATCATGATTTGTTATAATAACAATAATAATTGTATGAATAAAATTTTTCTTGGCCAGAAAAAAAATAATGACATAATCTTGAAAGTCCTGATATTTATATAAAGAATTATTGATTTCCTAAAATAGTTGATATTCCCTTGAAAAGGTAAAATAGAAACTCAGCAAGATTGCCACCTGGCTGTTGAATACTTCGAATAGAATCGTACAGGAAAATCTATTACATGGAGAGAATAGTAGCATGCCGCCTTCAGGTAATCACATGCTCCAGGTGATTTGGCTAACGATGTGTAGCTTCCACAGAATGCTAAGCCGGATGCTCCAATAGCCTGACTTGAGCATAACAGGAGTGGAACAACCGTGGGGCTTGAATGAAGAGCAGCAGAGCAAGCAGCCGAAAGAGAATTGGTGAGAACATCCACAAGGTGACCCTTTAGATGCGAAAATTTAAATGAAGTGACTCGGAGTAACACACATTCATAGACAAAATGATAGTCAAGAGCAACTTGCTCTATTTGAAAATGCTAAACTGGGTTAGCAGCCAAATACGTGGCACCAAGGTTGTCACAACAAAGATCAGGGACACACAAAAGAGGGACTACACACGTCAAGAGACCTGTATTCAGCCTCTTTGAAAGAGCCAACAACCATAGTTTGCTTTGGGGAACTCCAAGAAATAAGACTGGGATCACAATAGCCACCAGCACAACAACTATCATTAGCACACCCTACCTAGTCATCATAAGAGAAGGCAGTCGAAGAATGATTAGGAGATTTGTGTAGGGAGGGAGCATAATAAGTATTCTTAGGGGTAGGGCAAAATACATGGCAAAGGAGATATGTGGGTGTGGCCGTGTAAATGAAAGGTATTGCAAATTATTCACAATGCTAGCAGGATAAAGAGTGAGATTGTTAAAAGGGAGAACCATTTGTGGAGGACAATGTTATATTTTGATTGGGAAAGGTAAAGGTTTTCAGATGAGAAGTGAACTTTGTTTGATGGTTTGCATATATTTTTTTATTAAAAATAATCATATTTAAGATACAGTTAAGAAATAAATGTAAATATATTGTTTAGTGAGAATCCAAAACTTGATTCCTCATATTATGAAAAATTAATCACTTCAATTAAGTGCAATTCTCATCGGTGGAGAAGGGATCCAAGATCCTCGAAATGAAAGGATTGCCCGGGAGTAGAAACGAGGCCAGTAACCAGACGAGGAGCAGGGCCAGTGATGGTGTCCCCAACCTAAACTGTTAACGTGCAAGAAGCCAAGAATCATCTAGGGAAACATGTTACACACAAAAAAACAAATGGCCTTGTTTAAGTATCACATGCGATGGGTTATCTGGTTGCCCTTATAGAGTTGACACGAGATGCTGGGCTGGATGCTTTAACACACACACACACGCACACCCACCCCACACCCACCCACCACACACCAGAAATCATGATTTTTTCTCACCATTCATAAATGATTATTTATAATGCTTGTTTCTCAAAACATTTTTATTTTTAATATATATATATATATATTCTTAGTTAAAACATTTTAAAAAAAGTTTAATTCACATCCATGTCATTTATGTTTCGTCAAATATTTACTGTTACTCGTTTCTGTTTATCGATTAATTTATTATTATTGAAAAGTATAGTTTAAACTTCTTACACCACCAAATTACGATGGCTTGAAAATGTAAACATCATATACTTGTTAAGGGGTTGATATGCGCAAGTAATTAATCTTTTTTTTTAATCAAAAGCTCATACTACAATTTTCATCTTAATTCTTCTCGTTATGTCCAAAAATAGTTTATCTCCACCGGAGAAAATTATTATTTACATCCCGCTTTATTCCTGCAGACGGTATTTTTCCCGGAACCTTCAAGCTTTTCTTTAATTTTGAAAAATATGTTCCTTTCAGATGCAATTTCTATGATAGTACCCAATAGCTTTTGTTCACATTTCGATAGATACGCAAAATTTCATCTTCCAGTGGCATCGATAAAAAAACAGGCTACGTTGAGTACACGAAGGATTATTCTGAAAGAGGAAAGACAAGAAGGAACAACACCAGATTCAGAAATTCATTCTGGAATTGAACGTTAATTTGTAAATGTTTACAAGACACGTGAGCATCATCATGCCCTTGCAAATACATTGCTGACTTTGCTCCGCAAAGATTTGGAGGCTTCACTATGGACCTTATGCTCAGACATTAGCTCCATCCCCATGAACAATTTTCACGGATCCAGATCCAGAAGACTTAAAACATCCAATACGACCCAAATCAACCACATTGTTTCTTTCGTTTTCTTCTATTTTTCAAATCCGAGCTTCACACCGTGGAGCAAAACTTGTCACAGCAAAGAATGGATCGGTGTTCGCTCTAAGGTCATATACAAAATTTACATCAATTACAACGATGAATAAATATTCGACCCGCACAGAATTCACGACGGTCGGTCTCATCTTGGAAGATTGTTGAATGTCAACAATAGCCGATGGATCAAATAATTGTCATCTAAAAACCTTCATCACCTTTTGACAGCATAGGACGTGTCAAGAAACAGCCAGAGAATTGTTTGCACTTGGTGATTTATAAAGGGTGTCAGATACTTTAGAAGGAGGCCAGTACCGAAACATGGATCTACCAACAATGTTCTTTACAGGAAGCGGACCCCTGAAACAAAAGATTGCAACAAAAAGGTTATGTGCTTCATAAATTCGATCTCTTTTACATGTGTGTGAACTTGTGACACCGATTATCATGCATCATGACAAACTCCAGACACATTAATCTCGGATAGAATGTTTACATAAACAAGTTTCGAGAAGACCTTCATCTATGAACGGGCCAAAGTGAATCTCCACCTAAACCAACTTATCATCCAAAGAGCAACGGAAAATCAGTACTAACAAGGAGACTGAGGAATTACCAATTATGTGAGTCATAGCTATTATTACGATTGTCTCCCAACACAAAGACACAACCTTCTGGCACAACCTGCAACCAGAAATAGAACAAGCTTAAAATGGTGCAAAAGCCCAGGATGAATTGTTAAAGTAGCGTTGCAAGGGAAGGAAAATTCAACCCGACCACAAATGATATAACATTACCACTGGATCCATCTCATAAGAAAGGGGCTCTAAAACGAATTCTTCATCTTGAGCAACACCATTCACCAGCAGTTTTCCATCACGAACCTACAAGAAACTCAAAAAGGTAAAGGTGCGATTTGGTAGGGAGGAGAAACAAGCATTCTCCAAAGACAAGTGGAACAACCACATGAGACCCTTTATTTCTCAAATATAAAACTCACCTCTACACAGTCCCCAGCCTTTGCCACAATTCTCTTAATAAATACATCAGCCGAACTAAAACCTTTTTCCTATATGACGCCAAGATATCAAGGAAGACATATCATTAGCATCTTACTAGCAGAGAAAACAACCAGTAGCGACGGTAATAAAACTGAAGCCGTATTAAGATACCTGTAAACTTGGAGGTGCTTCGAATATAACTATATCTGAAACATCAGGCTTTCTGAAAAGGAATGAAACCTGTTACATCATAATCACAACCAAATACAATTAGTTTACCAAAAAAAAGCAGTATATGACAATCTCAGCTCTAAATATTATTTACTAAATTCAGACGCCTCCATATCCACCCCTAGATACCAGTTAATAAAGTGAACACCCAACGACCTATTTTCTGGGATCAAATCACGGGTCTAACTATTTAGTCGTGCCTAGATAAAGAAAGCATCACTCGCATAGGACGACAGAACCCAACTGCCGTACAGTATAGGGACATCCAACAGACCTCAATCTCTTCTATCCAAAATTTCAATCCCTGGAATCTTAATTCGGAGATGGTTAGTTCAAATCTCGAATGCACCATGAAAGACGAGTTAACATTAATATTTCAATATTCTCTGTTACTTATAACATGCTTAATTGTGCTCCCCAAAATTCTCGACACAGCCATTGATAATAAAAATTTTATTTATCCATTGCAATTTTCAAGTTACAACTAGGATCAGAAAGAGTCGTAAAGATTATAGAAAACTTGATTTCTCAACAAAAACTAACCTTCTCCGCTAAAATACGGTCACCGACTTCCAGAGTTGGGCACATAGAAGACGAAGGAATTGATCTCGGTTCAGCCAAGAATGATTTAAAGAGCACACTAACAGTCACAGCAGTAAACACAGCCTTAGCATCCTCTGAACAGACGTTCAACAAGCGCGATAGCCAACTCGACTTCTCAAGACCTTGGGGACCGTACCCTGAATTCGCATCATCACTGCCGTTATAACACAGTGTCCCTCCTTTATCCACCTCAAAAGTTGCAGGGACAGGAGTCGACTCGTTGCTAGGAAGGCTCTTCGATCCCTTTAAAAAGGGAATAATCGAAGAGGCGTTGGTCGGCAAAACACCAGATACCGACACAGTCGCCACAGACGACGACGATACCGAACCAGTTGACTTCAATAGCGAAATCAAACCCAACATGATCGGATTATCAGAATTATCTCCCAGAATTTCTTTGGAGATAGTAGAATACAAAGAGGCTGAATTCTTAGCCCAGCAATTCGGTTTAGGCCGCCCGTAATCGGAATGGTAATTACGCACGCCACCGGAGGGATCACGGTCAGGTTTCTGGCTAGGGCCGAATACCCGAGATCGGATCCAGCATTCGTGGAGGCAACGCGAATTACCAGCACGACAACCGGCGGAGGCCAGGCCCTGGGCAAAGTAGCCGGAGTAGGATAAAGTAACTCGGATAGCCATAACTACAAATTTGATAAGCGCGAAGAAGTAAAGGTACAGAGTGATGTCGGAGAGTGAGCAGGGGGATCTAGGAGACCCTAGCAGAAGATCGGAGCCATTTTCACCGAAGAAACCAGTGAATCGGAGACGGAAGGGTTGAATTGACGTTAACAGAAACTAGCAGCAGGGGCGTGAATCACCGATTATCCCGAAAAGCAGAGGAGTCAGAGAGATCTGATGAGGACAAGGGAGTCGAGGAGAGGAGAGGAGAAGCAGGAACAGAGTTCCGGTGCTTTTCCTCGGAGAGCAAAAACCTCAGAACCCGGAATGTGATGTCCAAAGTCAAAACAGAGGATTCGATGGGATGGGGTATATTTATCGTCGGCGGCTGCTGGCTGATGCACATTACGAGACTTTGATTCTTGCGATATTTACAATATAACCTAAACCAACTTTCCCCGTCCCCACCTCGTTGGCGGATTTTGAGATTTTCTGAACCGTTGAACTGGAAACAAATAAAAACAAAAAAAGAGTACAATATTAAACCATGAATAAATAAAATGTTTAATGTAATTTCTGGACCAAAAAAAAATTATGTAATATTTGAGCGTGATTTTTATATGTTCAAATCCTTGGAATCTTTTCTGGAGGATTGAAAAATTAAGAAGGCACCCAGTTGTAATTGTAATTATAATTGTAAATGCAAATGTAAATTGCCAATGCGACAAAAGATAAAAAGGTTTAATAATGTATAAACACGCACCAACCTGGCTGCTTCCCCTTATTAAATGACCATATTAGCCCTGTAAATATGCAATCGAAGTGGGAGGCAAGCTCCAAGGCCAATGACGTAAGGGCACACGTCACCGATAATAAACGGCGCATATTTTAATGAGAAATCAACCCCCACCTCAACGAAACTTCTCCACAATTCTGAATTTGACTATATTTGTTTATTAGTGCCAAAACTTTGACCAAATTCAGGCATCCTTAACGGGTAAGTGACACTGATGTTACAACGCCCACGTGCCAAGACATTCTTAGCTGTTTCAACGAAAGCAAAAATAATAATAACAACAATAATAATAAAATAAAATTTTACCACTCAGGTATTTTTTAAAAGATTGATTATTAAAAAATATGCACATTATTAAAAAAATATAAGACCCTCTTTGATGTAATGAAAGAATTTTTAATAGAATCGAAATTGAAAGTAAGATTAAAATTGATATAGAAAATGAAATTGAATTGAATTTTAAAAGTATATTTGATATGAAAATAAAATCCTAACATAATTTTAATAAGTATATATATTTAAAATTATAATAACCAAGGTATCCTTTAAAAAAAATACTAAGACTAGCTTCTCCCTCATTCAATTTTGATCTGTAACCTTCTCTCTCGTTAACTCCTTCTCCACCATCAAGTATGCCCATTATCATAGCCAAAAGGAAAAAATCAAATGCCTACTACTTGTAGATTCAACTTCAATCTCATCATCCTCTCTTCAACACTATATTCACAATATCCACTATGAGAAAGCCTCTAATCGAAGGCTTATTCAAAGTTCATTTTTGGACTTGTCAAATTAAAGAAGAAAGCTTAACAGGTCTCTTCAAATTCATCACCACCCACTATCATCAGACTTGGAGTTTTATGCTCCCTGCCATGGAAGAGCTGTGAAGACCTGTAGCCATATGGAAGACAAATGGGCCTAATTTGTTATTTGAAGAAGAAGAATGAAGTGGTAGAGGAGACTTCATAGAAGAGGTACAGGCAATAGCGGGCGATAAAGGTAGAGCAATGGTTATAGAGGTTTGACGATAGTTGTCGAGGTGCGGTTCTGACTTTCATTGAAGGCAAAGAGTTCTCAAGGATAGATTCCATGATAATTGATCCGATTCCATTGACTTAGAGACAGAATCGAATTCCAACCTTTTTGATCGAATTGGGATTCTTGGGAATCAAAAATCAAGGCTACCAAATGTGCTCCATCCAAGAGTCCTTTTTTTATTCTGATTCCCAATGAAGAGTTCTAAGATACCAAATGGGGTCTAAGATATTTTGTGAGAGATTAGATGTTTAAAAAATATAAAATATTTTTAATATTTTAAGGTGTAATTATTGTCTTTTTTTTTAAGTACTCATATTGAATAATCACTTTATATGTATTTTAGGATGAAACACCAATTAAATAAAGGTAAATATAAAAAGATAAAGTTGGTTTGAAGACAAGTAATTACTTTATTGAGAGCAAAATTTAATTAAAAACGTCTTATACTCCTTCTGTTAAAAAATATGAAAAGATAAGACATTTTTAATATTTTAATTTGTAATCATTATATTTTTTTAATAGTACTTCTAATAAATAAATTACTTTTTATTTATTTTAGATTAAAACATCAAATTAAATATGAGTAAATATGAAAAGAATATGTTAGTTTAAAAATAAATAACTACTTTATTAAAGATAAAATTTGATTAAAAATGAATGACATTTAAAAAAAAGAGAGTAATCTTTTAAAATATCTTCTGCAAATATTATCATAATGATAATTAAAATTTTAATACATTATAATTTCAAAAAAAATGAATAAAATAAAGTATAGTTAAAAATTTATAAAATATCAAATACCGTACATTTTGAATTAAGAAGGGATTCTAAAAAATACACTTTATTATATTCACCTTAGAGTATAGGTTAAAAGATAAATAGTATATTTTTTAACTAATTATACGTATTGACTAACCACTGATCATGAACAAATCCAAATGTGCATTTGTTTAAAAAATCAAAGGTGCACGTGCCTACCTTTTGTTGACCAAAATGATCAATATTTGTTGGGTTACGAGATAAAAATATCTTTTTAAAAGAAAATGAGTTATAAATATCCTTACTTTTTAAAATAAGTATTAAAAATGAAGCAATATCCCCAACCTTTGCCTAATTGAATTTTTTTAACCTATGAAAATGTCACACGTGTCACCCCTTTTCCTCTCATCCACGGATAAAGCAGTGAATAAAGAATCATGAGCTGCTGCAATACAAAATAAAAACGTATTCGTCTGCATCATCTAACACTCTCTCGAGCTCCCTTCAATTATCATAATCCATGGCTATTTCTTTAACAGGTTCTTCTCTCGCCCTTTTATCTCTTCTTTTTGACCTATCTACTGCTGAGGAAATCTTGGTGGGCGGCAAGACTAATGCATGGAAGATCCCATCCTCTTAATCTAATTCTATCAATCATCAGGTTGCAAGATCTTACTTTCAAGTTAGTGACCATCTTGGCACATTCATTTTTTTTTTTTGCTTTTATTTTATTTTCTCATCTAGTGCATTTTTGTTTTGCATAAGATTATATTTAATGATAGCATACCTTTGCTTTGTTGTGTCACTGTATGGAAGTGTGACAGGGGGGTGACCCTGTTATGATAATCTCAATACCCCCAACCCTAAGGGAGAATATAATGATGACAACACAAAGGTAAAGCTTGACTGTAATGGGCCATTCTATTTCGTCAGTGGATTGAATGGGCATTGCAAGAAGGGCCAAAAGCTCATTGTAGTTTTTCTCTAGCACCTTCTCTAGTGAAGCTCATAATATTATAAATTTTCAACTTTAAACTTTAGATGTTTAAAAAAGGCAATTGGGTCCATATATGTGACTTTTAAACTAATGATATTTTTTGAATATTAATAAAGTTACTTGACCTTTGAACAATATTAGACATGAGCCAATATTGTGTATTGGTCAACCGAGCTCAAGAGGATGGCCAAAAAGACATATGGTAGTTTTTATGCCGTGCGTTGCATTCTAGCATAAACTAGACGCGAAACGCGTATGATTTCAAAAAGTAGAAAGAGAGAAAGTGTAAAGAGCGTCCTAAATTATGATTTAATCATCAGACTAACTACAGTAAATCAAGGACTAACCCAAAAGGATTATCCTATAAGTGTAACACCCTGAAATTTACAAACCGATTTTTCGCAAATTATTAATTCAACAAATTTTTTTTTTTCATTGAACCCTTATCATTCCCTTATCATGGTAAAAAAATTTCTACCATGATACATCCAAGACAATATACCACAGGTCTTAAAATATCTAAAAAAAAAAGCAATTAGAACTATGAGGGACAGACATGATCCTCATAGCATGTTATTTAAATTAGGTCATGAATCAAAAGGGACAGACATAATCCTCTTGGACATATAAATGCATTTAATAAAAAGGATTAGAGTTTACATGCTCCATAGACAAGATATGTCCTAAGTTGGCACAAGATACATTGTATAATCCAAAATAAGAGGCAACATAAAAGATGGTGTCTCATACACCATAATTACACCTCTGGTACTTTCTCGGCCGGATTCGCTCCTGTAAAAATATTAACCACGGGGAATGAGACTTAAAAGTCCCAGTAACCAAAAATTAATATGTAATGATGCATGCGGATGTAACTAATCATGCGATTGCTAAGTGGGCACACAAAATATTTAACCGAACAATATTTTCAAACAAACCAAACAAGTATTTAATTGCATGACTGCACCTTATATCCTCCTTTCACCATGCTCGGACGCCAAATCACCCGACCAAAGGTGAGTTAGACCAAGCGACACGCCACTCATTGGGTCCAATGAGGGCTTACCACGTGGTAATAATTAACCGAACAGAAATTTCCATTAACACCATACATTAAAATACCCTGACAAGTCATGCATCATTCAAATATCCAAACAGTAATATATCCGAACAATAATATCTCATCATGATAAACAAAAATAAATTTTTAACCCACTTGGCAATAATTTCAAACAAGTATATACATTATTTATTTTTAATAATTCATAATTTTTCCAAACAACAAAACAACACATAACCATTCACAAACACACTCATCACAACACATTAATAGTGGTTACCTTGTGTCTTGAATAACAAGTTCCCCTTCACAACTCCTTTTTCACCACTATCTTTGTCAATATAATCTACATAATTATTTCACAATACTATATATTAATTTTACATTAAAATAAATAACTCTAATTTAAATAGTTAGAAAGTCTTAGATCTATAATTCATATTAACACTAATTTAAGATTTATGCCTCATTTAACTTCCCAAATTCTTTTCTAAAATTCTCGTACCCTAATAAACTATTTTTTTTATTCTCAAATCACTTCTAGTATCACAATTTCATCCTTCTATATTCTAAAAATTCGTCCAAAAATAAATTAAATTTTAAAATTATCCTAAAGCCTCAAATCACCTTTCTATAACCTCAAAAATACCTATTCATACTTAAATAAATATTTAATAATCATAGGTTCATCCCTACATCTCATATTCCACATAAATTCAACCATATAGATCTAGATTTTAACTCAAAAATTCTTAAACATGAGTTTCAACCTCAAGAAAATATTCTATAATATTTATTATATCCCTAAGAGTTTTAACCTATATTTTTAATCCATCATATCATCAGATTAACTATCCTATAGAAAAATCTTAATCAGAATATTTACTCTATCCTATAAAATAATCATATCACTAGAAAGCTAATATTATTTAGAAAATAACTATAAAATTAATTTTGTAATTAAATAAATTTTTAAATGCTAATCTAAACAGGAAAGCTAGAACATACCTGAAGAAAAAGAAAATAATCCCCCCTTGTGAGAAAACGCCGAGCAACGTGAGAGGAAGAGAGAAAAATAATATAAAAATGGGATTGTGAGTCCCAAAATTATATTAAAAAAAACTATAGGTTTGAATTTAATTATTCAAACCTTTGGGCCAAAAGTTGCAATTTCATCTAAATTGCATCTTAGCCTCTCATGCTTCCTAATGCACCCACCCCCTCCTTTTTATACATGAAGGAACCTCTTCTCTTCCCTCATCTAACCAATGTGGGACTTAAAAACAACAACCTTTCACCCCCCTTTTTTTTGTTCTTTCTACCTTCTCTTTTTTAACACACACATAAAAAAATTATTTATGTATTATATCTTAACTAAATATTGCTTATGTGGTTTTAAATTTAAATTTTTAAATTCATAATTAAATACCAAATCATAATATTATTTCTAAATAACCTCAAATAATATAAATTCCTATTATTATCATTTTTTCCTCAAAACCTAAATTCCACAATTTCTTTGTTATATAAAAATTAGGATGTTACAATAAGAGATTAATCTAAACAAATTTTTAACATGTATTTTCACAAATGATTCAATATAAAGGGATCCCAAATCTTTAAAATATTTTAAGAACTCGTATCATTCAATTAAACATATGCGGAAGCATGATAAAGAAAACACATCAACATGGGAGAAGAGCTTCCCCCTTTATTTTCTCTCTATGCCTTACTCTGCAATACATATATACATATTTACGACATAACACTTGGCCATTTAAACCCTTCCATAATTGGTAGCAGGGGGCCAAGGTCTCAATTACATTTATCATAATGTCTATTTCCTAATCATCATATTTTATATATCATTTATTCATCAATAGCCTATCATATACATGAATTTTTCTTTTCATTCACATATAATTAATATCAACTGCTCACTCTTGGACATCAAAAATACAAGGAGAGACCATAACAACATTCAAGTTCTCAAATTAGGCAAATATTAACTATTTCAACTTGCACAAATATTTTGGCCCGTTAATATAGCACAAGCATCAAACCACATTCCCCAGGGCCCAAAATACATTTCCATCAACACAAAACCCATAATGAAAGTGGATCAAGAATATATTATCCTAATTGGCAATATCATAAACTAAATACACATATCAAAATAAAAAGAGAAAGGCCTACAAAAGTGATTACTATCACTTGGCCTAATACTCCTTTTCTCTATTCTTTTGAGATGAGCTAACTCCTGTAATATGTTAAAAGAGAGGGGTGAGTACAACCACTCAGTAACCAAGGTACATCTAAGTTATACAAATGTATGACAATTAATCATGAATGCAAATAGCCAATAAATTTATCAAGGTGACCATTCAAACAATCACATTAATAACATGTTAATCACATTAACATTTAACTCATGTGAATAATTTTAAGAATAAAGTCAAGTATAAAATTTACACAAATAGCCACATATACATTATTCGCATAATTACTACATGTTCTCATTTCTATAATTATAATCATATCCTCAACATAGCCATCAATCACTTAAATGGCATGATAGTAATAATATGCATGATCGATTTTTTCCTTATATCCTCCCTTATTTCCTCTGACATAAAATCTGTAGGCCAATAATCGAAAGAGATCGTCCATGTGGTGAGACTACCCAAGGCCTTAATCATATCATGAGGGGCTATCGAGCCAGGATTACCTTACTCACTTATGAACACGGTTTCCCTCAAATCACACACTATGGGGTGTCATACCCAAAACTAGCTCTACCCAAAACTCCAAGTAGGTCAGTAGGGTCAAGTCCCTTAATAGGAACAATGCTACAGTACCTTACAAGGTAAGTAATAGCTATAACCCCTAGGATTATTAGTTAACAGTCAAGTACCATATGGATTTTGTATAACCGCTAACTCTTTTACTAAGGCGAACTCCTGCTATATGATAATGCTCATGAGAAAATACATTTTAAAAACTCACATATATAATTCACAATTATCCCACATGCTCATCAACTTTCTTGCTCAACAAACATAAAAAATCATCATATTTCAATCATGTCTTTTGCATCAATTTTTATATTATCATATAAAACCACATTAGCATCATATAAAACTCAACATGCTCATACAATTCATCACTGTGCATAATTCACAACTTATAACCAAGAGTGTATACATAATCATTAACCATCAATCTCATTACTCACACCAAGTCATAATTAACTTAGTCACAAGTCATAGAGTCTCAACAAAGCCACATGCACTACAAATAACCATTTTAAAATTTAGACATATATATATATATATTCTTTTATTTCACCAACATAATTAATTAAGTAACATACAAATATATAAAATAGATTTTCCCTGATTACCTCAACCTTTGAGAGGTCAAAGGTTACCTCTTAAGTTACAACACTTCCAGAGCTTTCTAAAGCTTGAATAGTGTCAAAAGAAAATTAATTTATAATTGATCATATCCCAATGTGTTAATAATATTATTAACACAATTTTTACTCATATTCTAACATCTAAGTATTTATTTTATTTTATTTTATTTTTTTAAGACTTTAGTCTTAGCCTCTTAAGTTCTAAAATTTAATTTCATGTATTTGAACCTATCTACTTGGTTCAATAGTCTCTTTCATAATAATTTCATTCAAATAATTTTCTAATATCAAAATTTCCCTTTTTATTCCAAAAATTCGCACATAAAAATACTCAAAAATTACAAACTTGATTTCAAGCCTAGAATTATTATTCTATAGCCATAATAATTTATTTCTTATCTTAAATAATCATCTAAATATCAACAAATCAATTTATATTTTTGAATTTAACCAAAAATCTACCCATAGGGATCTATAGATAAACTCAAATGTCTCAAATTTTAATTCTATCAATAAAATAATACTCTAAAATATTTATTACACTACCAATAACCTCAACAACTAGATTTTTTTATCAAAAATTTATCCCTCTTTTAAACCCTAGATTTTTTTAAATCTCAGAATCTGCTGTCTCAGGGAAAAAATGACTAAGAAAATATTTAGAATACTTACCTAGTCTTAAAATACTTAAAATCTCATCTGAAATATCCTATTATGGAGCTTTACCTTTTAAATCAACTCTTCTAGTTGCAGCGTCGCTCATTCTCTATTCACACCCGAGGAAGATGAAGAAAGAAGAAAGAGAAATAGAGATAAAATATGGCAATGAGTTGTTTTAAAAACAAGTGTGGGTCCCACAACCTTTACTCTCTTTCTTTTGTCTTCTTCAATACACACACGTGAATGAATTCTTCCGCCTCCCTTTTCTCTCTCTCTTTTTTTGCATTATTTATACCTCAATACCCAAAGCAAAAATTACTTCTCTCCCCCTCTTCAATTTTTAATTTATTTTGTGTTCCTTTTTCTTTCTTTCTCTTTTTTATAATAATATTATTAATACTATTTTTATTTACTATAAAATCATAACTTAGGATTTAATCTAAATTAAATCTAATAATAATCTTCTAACTAAAATTATTTATATCTAAATATTCTTTCAAAATTATTCATTTACTCTAAATTAACATAATTAACCTTAAGTTAATTTTTGAGATGTTACAGAAAATGAGAGGAGTGACAGAAGAAGGGGCTTGTGGCTATTAGGGCTTGATATTATGAGTGATTTAGATATATTTAGAGCATGAATCATCATTGAATAAGTTTCATATTCCCTCTCCTTATTCATTATGCAAATTTCTGACTTTTTGAGGCAATAAAGGCTTTAATTTTAGTTTTATTGGGTTTAGACTGAACTCGTTGCCTCAGTTAAAGTCTTAGAGAGTTAAATCAAGCTTCTAAATTTATGGTTATGGGTTTTATAATGATTTGAAATTTTTAGTTAGGGTTTGAACGAACCCTATGTAAGAATTTAAAGTTTTGGGATAATGTAAGTAAATGATTGGTGATGTTAGTGTGCTTAGATGTTAATTAGGATTGTTGAAGTGTGTATGAAAGGTTGATGTTGTTAAATAAGGATTTTACATACAATGGGTAATCGAAATGTAGTGATTTTAGGGTTTAATTAGAGTGATAATTAACAATTATTGCTTTATTGTGTAGATTAAGTACTGTTCAAGTGCTATCTCGCATGAGGAACGTGTGGAGAGAAAGTTAGACCACGAAACCTTTTTTGTGACAAGAGGGTTGAAGTAATGAAATAATTTACTCTATTTAATTAAGTATTTAACTATGTGTGAGTAGATATATATATATATATATATATTGCTATGTGTTTTGAAAGAATTGCATTTTATGAAAAAAGGATTTTATGCATTTAAATTGATTTTCAAACAATGAAAATTGTGAAAGCTAACTATAAAAGTTAATTATGATTTTACTACAAATATGTGATTTGTATGAGAAGTGCGAGCATGATCATGATAGGGGGTGTGAGTTCAACCGTGGGAAGGGGAAGTGAAAGTTTATATGGCATATATCTCCTTAGTTCTTAGTAAGATATAGTGTCAGAAATTATCTCATTAGCATCCATGTAAGGTACGGTGTTGGAGATTGATGCTTCTTAGCATCAGTGATGTTGGAGTAACGACATCCGAATTTATGTGTGATAGGAGGAATTATAGTCTAGAAGTAGGATAAGACATCTTTGGCTGAGTGATCCGACCACTGAGAGAGAGTTCGGACTATTGTGTATGTGCACTTAGTTCAACAGAGCTTACGATTTTCAATCAGGGTGGTATGGAGGCTTGGATGGTAGAATGATCATGTTGGAGTATAAATGAATCAAGATTATGTTGACTATGCTAAATGGATGTTTTTACACATGTTAGCTTTAATTGCTTATGATTGTGCGTGTTAATTGATAGTTGTAAATTATTCTATTATTAAGCTGTTTACCTCATCCCATGATTATATTTTACATGTGAGGGTTCTGATAGGGGCAAAGGGAAGGAAGGGACTATTGAGAATTGAGGGCTACGTTTGTATAGCTCTGTTCCCTTGTTATTTTGATTTTGTAATGAATGATGTGAATTTTATGCCAACTTATGATCATTTATTGTTTGTAATCACTTGCATGAAAAATTATGATGTATGAGTGTGTATCTCAACCTATATTAGTGT